ATTTTCATTTACCGTGAACAGTGATGGGAAGAGAAGATGGGAAGCAATTTTACAGCTTCAGCAGTTATGTGTTTRCTCAATCTGCGGCCTAGGTTAGTTCGTAATTCTTTCTTTTACGTACGTAAATTTCATAAACTTCCATATGCTTCATAACCACTTATGAAGTGGTGGGTGGGGTTTCATTTTAACAGTTTAAAATAGTTTCTAAACAATATTATCATTTATCYCAGTCATTTCTGAGACAATTTATTGTCCAGCAAATTTGATTTTCGTGACAGGCCTACATGTCATGACTCAAAACTCAAAGCCAGTTTGTAAAAAAATGGAAACATGTTCTATTTAGATAGATTTGGTGAATGTGTGTGCTCTGTTACTGAAAGAAAAACCCAACACCTGTGCAGAGCTACGGGATCTTAGGAGGAAATGATAGAGTGTTGTAACAGCGAGATGCTGAAGGCAGGTTAAAGCTGGCAGGGATTCACTGAGGGGGAAAAGCAGCAAGAAAGCAAAATACTTTCCACTCTTTAAAAAGTGACCTTAAATATGCTGCTGTCCTTTCATTTACCCACCTCAACACTTATAACTTTCTCTTGCCTTTGTTTACTTAAAACACAAGTGGAGGTGAGAGGTCTCCTTAAAACGTTTGTTCTTAAGTCAACATAGGCAACCAATGCAGATTACTGACACCAGTTAGTAATTAATCACTTTGTGCAGTTATGTCAGCTCACTCCTATAAAAACTACACACTGTTTTATGTTGACAAGCAGAGGTCAGCACTGACCCGACAGTACCGGCTCTTACCACAGACTGCAACGCTGCCACAGCTGCTGCTGATGTGGCAACAGCTGTCGACCACACCAGCAGGCTCAGCCAACACCAAACCCACCACCAGCAGCCAGGGAGGTGCACTTAATGTATTACTGAGCATGCGGGAAGACAGAATGTAAAAACACAAGAGAGAGGAAGAAACTGCCAGAGGGACAGAGAAGAAACCCGGACAGGAAGCAGAAAAGGAATCAAGTGTTTAACTGGTAAACTGATTATTAAAGCATGTGGGTTACTAATAAGCAGGAAGACACAGGACAACAAAGCAGAGGAAATGACAGGCAACGAAACATGCAGAACCCCCCCACCTCCCCCCTCAACAAATACAAACTTACTGAGATTAGGTTTCTGTTGRATGAGTTTATGAATGAGATGTCTGAAGGTAGCATCTAATCAGAAATTTACTTTCTAAATTTTAGTCTGTATTATGGCAACACGAGTGATACAGGCACAACTACAAAGAATAAAACTTTGTTGGTACTTCTCAGGTCGTGTTTTAAGCTGACAACAAGCTGAATTCTCTCATAATAAATATCCACGTAAGAAGAGACTGTAGTGAAGAAAGGGAAGAGCCAGATGGATAAGACTGAAGATACTCACAGAAATCACCCTGTCCCCGACACACAGTGTGCTGTCTCTGTGTGCTGCTCCACCCTCTGCAATCCGAGATATGTAGATCCCCTAAAAACAGACATGAGGCAAGTTTACACAAACGTTTCTACAAGTAACTCCAGCTAAAAGAGGGTTATCAGGTTGCTTTGAAACAAGGAAAAAAAATACAGTTTTTGTAAATGTGCTGCACTTAATGCCTTATTTGTAGAACACCATAAATCTTTGAAACATAATCTGCTAGAGTTCAATATTACAGTGTGTTGGTGGTCAAGTGTGTGACAACAGGCTGCAATACTAAGATCAATCAGTTTGCTCACAGCGAGTCTGATTAGGAGGGAATATGAGATCACATGTAAGGCAAAATATAAATTTTCCTCCTATTTACTGTTTGTTTTTGCTTGGTTCTTAGACCTTAATGACTCATTAAAGCCACCCAATTTTGACCACAGTTGTGCACATAAAAAAAACCTAATACAACTCATTTAATGTCTTTAAGAATCATTTGTTGAAGTACCATCACCTGAGACATAATTTCCTCTTTGCTTGGTCAACATAAACACTTTGGTCAAGAAAATAAAAACCACGCTGAGCTTCGTTGCTGTTCCAAGTAAACAGAAAACATGAATGCATGCAGGCGCTCCATCGCAACTTCACGATTAAGCAATCAGACAAAAGTCACTGAAGCCAATAAAATAAAAGCTTCTGAAAATGGAGCGAGACTTACAATCAAACTGCCTAAATGTGACGTTTATGGGTAGTTTCCTTTTTGTAAGCTCCTTGAGCTGCTGGGCAGTACTGCACCGGTCCCAGTATACGCCTCATCGTGTCACCATGTCCAATTACAGAGGACCTATCAGGTTTCAAGAGTGGCTATTCATAACTCTGTCGTCCTGGTGGAGACGGTTAACGCTGTGGCACCAAAAGGCTGATCTTTCACTGAGAGGGTTACTGCAAATGTGTCATGACTTCACTTCCTAACTTCCAACGTCACTCCTGGCACCGACCCAACAAGAAGTTCTGATATTCACAGTATAACTGGTTGAGTCTGCAGCTGTTTATGTTCTATCAGCYCCATGTTTCATCAAGGTGATCAGCTGAATATCTCAGATGTTTTACGTCACTCAGATTAATTTTAAATCATAATGTTTCAGTTTAAAAGGGGGGACCGTAGAGTGTGTTCCAACTATAGGGGGATCACACTTCTGAGCCTCCCTGTCCATCCATCCATTTTCTGTACACGCTTCTTCCTTTTCAGGGTCACGTGGGTCACTGGTGCCCATATCCAGCAGTCACAGTGCGAGGGGCGGGGTACACCCTGGACAGGTCGCAAGTCCATCACAGCTGAGCCTCCCTGGTTAGGTCTATTCAGGGGTCCTGGAGAGGAGGGTCCAGATAGCCGAATCTCGGATTCAGGAAGAGCAGTGTGGTTTTCGTCCTGGTCGTGGAACAGCAGACCAGCTCTACACCCTCAGCAGGGTCCTGGAGGGTGCAAGGGAGTTCGCCCAACCAGTCTACATGTGTTTTGTGGACTTGGAGAAGGCGTTCGACCGTGTCCCTCGGGGACTCCTGTGGGGGGTACTCTGGGAGTATGGGGTACCAGGCCCGTTTCTACYGGCTGTTAGGTCCCCGTATGACCGGTGCCAGAGCTTGGTCCACATTGCCYGTAGTAAGTCAGACTCGTTTCCGGTGAGAGTTGGACTCCGCCAAGATTGCCCTTTGTCACTGATCTGTTCATAACTTTTATGGACAGAATTTCTAGGTYCAGCRYAGGTGTTGAGGGGATCCTTTTTGGTGACCTTAGGATCACATCTCTGCTTATTGTGGATGAGTGGCCCTATTGGTTTCATCAGATCGTGATCTCCAGTTCTCACTGGAGCAGTTCACAGCCGAGTGTGAAGAGGCTGGGATGAGGCTCAGTGCCGCCAAATCCAAGACCATGGTCTTGAGCCGGAAAACAGTAGGGTGCCGCCTCTGGGTCGGGGAGGAGGTTCTGCCCCAAGTGGAGGAGTTGAAGTATCTCAGGGTCTTGTTCACGAATGAGGGAAGAATGGAGCGGGAGATCGACAGGCGGATTGGTGCTGCGTCTGCAGTGATGCGGGTGTTGTACTGGTCTGTTGTGGTGAAGAGAGAGCTGAGCCAGAAGGCAAAGCTCTCGATTTACCTGTCAGTCTACGTTCCTACCCTCATCTATGGTCACGAGCTTTGAGTAGTGACCGAAAGAACGAGATCGCGGATACAAGCGGCTGAAAAGAGTTTTCTCCGCAGTGTGTCTGGGCTCTCCCTTAGAGATTGGGTGAGAAGCTCAGTCATTCAGGAGGGACTCAGAGTAGAGCCGCTGCTCCTCCACATCGAGAGGAGCCAGTTGAGGTGGCTCGGGCATCTGGTTAGGATGCCTCCTGGACGCCTCCTGGTGAGGTGTTCCGGGCATGTCCCACTGGGAGGAGGCCCAGAAGAAGACCCAGGACACGCTGGAGGGACTATGTTTCTCGGCTGGCCTGGGAACACCTTGGGATTCCCCCAGAGGAGATGGCCCAGGTGGCTGGGGAGAGGGAAGTCTGCTTAGGCTGCTGCCCCCGTGACCCGACCCCGGATAAGTGGAAGAAAACGGTCGGACGGACGGATAATGTTGCAGTTTGAAAATGTATCTTTCACATTTGGTCTCGGTCAACCCCCTCTTCAGAAGTAGTTGCTTATAATTAGCATATATATAATTTTTTTTACCATGTCTCCTGTACGGTAAGGTGTAGAGCCTTTGCCCCCAGCAATGCTGAATCCCAGGCCCTTGTCGTTACGGATGAGGCAGGTGGAGAACCGCTGTCGGGGTCCACTGGGACAGGTCTCCAAGTTGAAGGCAAGGCCGCTGCTCCGCCTCTCTCGTGGGAAGTAGTCGTCCTCGGGCCTGAGAGGTGTAGTGGTGATGGCGTTCTCCGGCTCCACCATGCGCTCCCTCAGTACAGTCATGGAAACCGTAGCGCCGGAGCTCCTGAGAGCTTCCACTGCTGTGTGATGCTCAGCTTCGTGGAGGTCTACACCATTTACCTGAGAAGCAGAAAGGTTTGACTCCTGTATCTTTAGAAAAATCACCATAAGAAGTCTTTCTCTTCTAATTATATTAACCCTTGCATGCCTACTTAAAAATATTTTACCTCCAGAAGTTTGTCTCCAACCTTCACCCCTGCTCTCGCCGCAGGACCTTCTTCAGATACTCTAGAGATAAAGATTCCCTTAAAACACAAAGAGAACATTTAAACTCTGTTGGTCTTGTACTTTCTCAAACTTGAACAAATTCCAAGCGTCCATCTCACCTCATCATCTCCTTTGTAAGGCGTAGACCCTTTTCCTCCGGCGATGCTGATGCCCAGGCCACCTGTTTGTCGCACGATGATGAGCGAGTGCTGCAAGCCAGACAGGATGGAGTCAGAAACACAAGCAGTAAATGTCAACAAAACAACTGATCTACGGCAGGATGGGGAATGGATAAGCTTACAATAAAACCATTTGCTTCATAAACTTAGCATGTGTTGTTCTATTTTATCCTTTTTGGTTTTAAGTGACCTCCCTCTGTCTGATGGTGGCGTCAGTCAGTGCTGAATCCTGTAAATGTGTCAATAAACGAATGCCTGAAAATTTTAAAGCTCGCTCACAGTATAAAATGGACGTTGAGGTAAATAATCAACATGTGAACACCTAAGTTGTAATTTCTTTGACTAAAGTTAGAAAACAACTTCCTAATAATGCAAAGTGTGTTTTATGTGAAAAACTAGGAAAGTTAAGTTGTTTTCTGTGCACTTGTGAAAACATGCAGAAAAAAGGAATAAATGGAGACAATGATGGGATAAAGAGAAGTCTAAACAGGTAAAAGAGTGATGTTTCATGCGTGTGCAGTTTGTCATGCAGTTGAGCCGTCCATGTATAATGAGATTGCATTGCTAATCAAGTTAACTTTTATGGCAAATAAATGCTTTGTTTTAGTAAATTTTCTTTATCTTGAATGTTTGAAATGATTTATAAAACAATAAAATCATGCAAAAAATGTATTTATAGAAAAACAGTTGAAAAAATATCAAACGTGCTGTTTTATTCACTTTAAAGAATGAACTGTTAGTATACAAGCTTACATTTTTAACTTTAAAGAGATATTACCCACATAAGGATTAAATACTACTCCATGGGCAAACACTATACAGCCTAAAGTGTTTGGCCAACCTGTCATGGGTAGATTTTGGTTTGTTTTGGTCCCTGACTCCAGCAATGGCCAAATGCTTCCAAATACAAAAACATTTTGGATAATGTTGTTATCCTGATTCTGTGGCAACACTTGGGTGGTGGCCATTTCATATTGTACCCCAGTGCACTCAGCAGGGACTATAAAGACGTGATTCTTGACCTCAAACCCATTGACCTCCTCTGAGATATCCCGGAACAAAGATTGTGAGCCTGATCTTGTTCGACATTGATGCAATCCTCATTTATGCTTTACAAAATGAATGGGCATAAATCTAGGGCTGGGTAATAATTCAATAACAATATATACACACATGTGGACAAATTGTTGGTACCCCTTGTTTAATGGAAGAAAAAAACCCACAATGGTCACAGAAATAACTAGAATCAGACAAAAGTAACAATAAATAAAAGTTCTATAATAAATAAAAGTCAGACGTCGTTTTTCAATCACGCTTCAACAGAATTAAAAAAATAATAAAATAAAATTTGTGGAGTGAAAGGAGAAAATGATGCAACAGCTCGAGAGGAAATTGTGGACAAAAGAGAAAGGGTCACCACTTTAACAGTATCAATCCGCCTTTTTGCTCCTGGTCCTTACTTCAAAAAGGTTAAACAAAAAAACTAATCAATGATAATCGATTAACTAATATGAAATCTTTAATATATCCTGAAACATTTTTAACCCATGTCACCCAGCCCTACACAAATCTCTGTAGAACTACAMTAAAATCTTGCAGCAAGCTTTAGCTGCAAAAGGAGGCTCAACTCCATACAGTCCAAACTGATGGTCAGGTGTGGCCAAACACCTCTGTCCTTATAGTGTATGATTAACCTGTAGGTAGTTGGTGAAACTGAGTCATCTCATCACAGCACAAACACATCATTTATTGCAGGACAAAGAATGGTGTAACAGGGAGTGAAGGAGCAGATGTAGAAAGAAGTGCAGTGTGCCAGAACTTGATACTGGACTAAGACACTTCAACCACAGTCAAAGATGAGACAAATCCAGGCATCGACAAACCCAAACATGTTAAATATTCACTCACAGGAAACTTTAATAGGTACACTTATTTAATTGACTGTTAAACAGCTAAATCAGCCAATCACACGGCAGCAGCTCAAGCACGTGGGCTTGGTGAAAACGATCTGCTAAACATCAACAAGAACATCAGAATGTGAAAGAAAAGATATTTAAGTGAACGCTGCATGGTTGCTGGTGCTTGATGGGCTGGYATTTTCTCACAAAGCCACCTGATTGGCTGATTATCTACACGTGTTAACAAGCAACTGAACTGGTGTACCTGAAAAAGTAGTAGTGAGGGTATTTTTCGAAACATAAAATTTGAATGAAGTTAAAAAGACAAACTTGGGCAGCTGCAAACAAGCAATATGGGAAATCATTTTAAACTAAATGACATAGCGTTAGACCGAAACACACACTCTGTTTGTTCACCCTAACATGAACAGGTAACACCTGAGTCCTGTATCTGGGTTCTGCCACATTGACACTGCAGTAACACAGATCTGTTAGGGGCTCGGATTAGCTATAGATTTGTGTGTGTTTTCTCCACTTCGTAAACCTGTGATAGACCAAGAGGGTGAGTGAGCAACAGAAAGAAACARTGAATGGGAAAGCGTAGGTACAGACCTCTTCCTCCTCAATTCGAGCAGGTTCAATCAGCAGATTATTGACTTGATCAAATGACACCCCCTGTTAGGACAGGAACCAGCGAGAAGCATGCGGATTAGTCAGGCCAAAATAAAAATACACACTCCCACATGAAAAAAAAACACACCCTCCATTTACTCAATTATATTCACCGTCACTATCCGCTTAAAGCAGAAGTGACTCCACACTCACTCCCCAGCCACCAAAAGCAAATACAGGCAGAGATGGAAAGACGAGACCAATAAGCTGAGCCAGAGTGCAAAATCAAACACCCAAGTGTGCAGTGAGAGCAAACAAAAGAAAACAAAAGCTCCCAAACCAAACAAGCCCAGTGTCTAAACCATGAATAGAAACTCCCTCTAGTAGAAAACCGTAACAGATCCATAGTCATGTTAGGATGATACAGGCCAGATCAGTCATGGACTAAAGGTGGGACAAAAAACTCCAAGGGTTAAAAATGTCCCTTTTTTTGAGGTGTTGAATACATAATAGCTTTTTAATTAATAAATTAAGGCACTTTAAACAAAAACTGTCTCTCTCAGCATCACTACTTAAAGCTTCTTTTAACAGCGGGATGACAACAGGAAATCTTTTGCAAGATTTACATTTTATAGCTTTATTTATAGCTTTATTTAATTGAATATTGGAAAATTATTATGTAACACATAGCATATAATGTGAGGTTTCCTATAAATCTCACCCTAACTTAGATATTAGCTCGTTTAAAGATCAGGGGCTCCAACAGCTGGGGTCAGGACCCTAATGTGGGTCAAGTGTGGGGTCATGAGAAGGTCTACTGGAATCACATCAAAGCAAACGATAAAGAATTGCCGAAATATTGAGCTTTAAAAGCAATAAAAAAACTGACCAAACTCTGTTAAATGGTATTAGTGAAGTTTATATATTTCAACCAGCAAAAGCTGAGTCACAAGTATCCTCCACTTTTGATTTGTGTGCTGAAAGCTGATAAATTTGGAAATTACAGCACTGGATGACATTCACAAAAAGACTAACTTGACCTTCAACATTCACAAAGTAATTATCATCATACAATATTAAAAAAAGGCTTGTTGAATCTCACATTCCAGCTCTGCCTGTATAAGCCGTGACTGGTCTGAATTCAGCCACACAAACACACAAAACAGATTTGGTGAGATGATCTTTGTGTTAAAAGATTGTTTTTTTTAATTTGGTATGATAAAAAAATCAACAGATCTCATTCAGCCCCGCCCCCAATATTAAAATGGACATAATCAGACGTCACTCACATCATTCGTACGTGTCAGCGTGTTGCTCAGTGTTATAGAAGCAGCGTGTGGAATTATCATTATTATTTGATTAAACCAGCAGGTGGTTGGTAACGGCAGGAAGTTTAGTTCTTTACGGAACCAGTGTTTTAGGGGGGAAAGAGGCAGAGATCATCATAGTCTTTGTTATGTTACCTGTAGGGACAAAATGTGGTCTTAAAAAGATGTGTCGCTGATCTCAGGTGTAGGAAGAGTTTTATTTATGGTTTGTGTGTCATTTGTGTGCTGGTGTTGTGTTTCTACACGGGATGAAGTCGTGGGTTGGTGTCTTCATTCTGCACTTAACATTGTAACTTAAATGACAGCAGACCACTGAAAAACTTCAACTTACTTGATTTTCTGCTGTGCTACAAAGCCACTTACGTGTTATGAAAGATGCTTTTCTTAAAATAACCCAGACTACTTCCTGTGAGAGTCTGAATCTCTGCTTTACCTTTACTTGACTGGAGCTGCCCTGATGCCGGATGTCTTCCAGTTCTTCTATTCTATGATGGTGCTGAGGGGTGCCAATACTCTCCTCCTCCTCCTCCTCCTCCTCCTCCTCTTCATCCTCAGCAGCCTGTGTAGTGGAGTTGAGCCCTTCGTGACTGAAGCCCTGCAGCAGTGCGGCCACAGCTTCCGGTTTGGGCAGCTTGGTGATTTTGAAGTGCTTCTTGTAGTGTGGCGTGTCTTTTCTGATCAGCCGCTGCTTCTCCATCGGTACAGCCGGCCTGTCGTCGTCCTCGTCACTCCTCTCGCCGTTCTCCCGGTCCTCGTCGTCATCCTCATCCCCGCCGCGGATGATGGGCTCTTCTGCAAAGTGCACAGTGGGCTGGACAAAGGAAGGGGCTTGATTAATGGAGAGCAGCTGCAGCTGAATTTCACTAAAGTCGCTGTTTTTACCTCAATGTACTCCACCTCCATCTCATCCAGCTCCTCCTCCTCCTGGGGGGACTGGTTATCTGCTAAAGCTTCTTTCTGTGAGGTTACAGGCAGATTTTTTCTGTCCTCGTGGGACGTGGCTGACAGTGTGCTGTTTGAAGCCTGGGAGTCGTGGCTTTGATTGGAAACATCACTGAGTCGATTCTCCTGGAAACAAGGGTGGCATTTCAACACGTCTGAGCCGATAAGAAGTTAAATAATGTATTTGTATTCTAAAAAGATGGTAACAGCAGTTTTGGATGCAGTTTGACATGCTTGTTTAGTTTGCTGTTTACATTTGAACCGCCCTCTGGTCGGCAACGTCGGTGCAGCGTGTCTTTATGGAACGAGAGCGACGTGCTAAAACTAAAATATCAAACCAGTAACTTCAGTATCGATACGATCTGAGTGTTTGAGTGTATTTCTTTCTCTGTAATACTGACTGACAAAGCATTAACATAGGGCTGCACGGTATATGCGGTAAACGGTAGAAACAATATGAAGTTGGCCTACGGTAGAACTTTACCCTCTACCGTCCTGTCGTCAGTTACGTCATCGCACCTGTGTCAGCATGGCTGCGAGTGCAGAGACAACTGAGCAGGAAGWGTTCAAAATATTCTGAAAACACATGAAGAAATTCAGCGTTTTAAAACACGTGTAGTGAGAGTAATGGTGCGTTCACACCGAACGCGATTTCAGCGTCAAAATCGCAGCCAACGCTGAAGTTTGAAGCTTGTGCACTTTGAGGTCAGACGCAGGACAGCTGCGCTGCACGGCAGAGTCTCCCCGCCCCTCCCTCCTCTGTGGGGCCGTTTAATGTCGGACGAGGAAGTGGCTTTGCTTTATTTACAGACAGCCAGAACGTGTCACGTTCATCAGATAATTAATTCATAATTAATTCACCAGATAATTCAGAGAAGAGGCTCACAGCTCGCTTTCAGGACTATTTTTGTCCTGAGTCCAGTCTGATGAGTCTCTGCCACACATTGGTGAGGATATCTCTGTCAGGACACGACTGCAGCACTCATTTCAGC